GCGGCCGTTACAATAACGTCCCCCCTGACAAATATCAGGAATTTATGGTTGAGGCCAGGCGCCGCATCAAGCCGGCGGACCTGAGAATCCCGGGTTCCCTCCGGGTCCGCCAGGCCCTGAATAGGGCCTTGTTTGTGGAGGTGCTTGGCCTCAACTCGGAGGCAGCCGCCGACTGGCTTGCCGAAGAGTTTGGCAAGCTGGCGGCGGGAAGGCGTCCCGGTTACAGAATCCAGAGGCCGGTCAAGATTGCATCGTTGCGATTGACCGGCCTGGATCTAACAACCGAGGCCGACGAGGCCGAGGTAACGGCCGCAGTGTCCCTCGCTGAGGGGTGCTCACATACGAGGACCTCTGTAGGTGAGCTTAGCTTATCCCAACGGGGGACAGCGGCAGTGATTGTGCGGTGTCCGCTGGCGGCGGCGCTGCCCGCTCGCGCAACGGTCTGCTTCAGATGTCTGGAGCAGGGCCACGTACGCGAGCGGTGCTCTAGCGCCGTCGAACGCAGCGATTTGTGCTATCGCTGCGGTAACCTCGGCCACCGCGCCAAGGACTGCAAGGCGGCGATGGCGCACTGTGCCATATGCGCCGAGTCGGATCGGCCGGTCGGGCACAAGCTAGGTGGGCCGGCCTGCAGACCTTCCGGAAGGAAAAAACAGAAGGGGGTAAAATGAAGGAAAGAGGCCAGGCGCGGAGCCGGGGGAAGATCGCCCCGGTCCCCCCCCAGCGAGGGAGGCTGCAGTGCAGGAGTAAGAGGCCCGAACTCTCGAATCCTGCGGCACCCAGCGGGAGGATCTGGCACAGGACAGAGGGGAGGTCAGGCCGGCCTCCCCTTCCCCGAGTAGAGTGACATGGAGATGGAGGTCATCCTGACCCTCCTGACCCCTTCGGACCAGTTCCTGAAGGAGGTCCTGGAGTAGCAGCGGCTCCGGAGGGAGACGAGAAAAAGGAGGCGACGGACGAAGTCGCCTTCCCGACGAGAGACTAGGAAGGAGGGACCTCGTCATCGACGGAGATAGCGGACAAGGTGAGGAGGGTGGAGCATGGTGCAACAACCCTAACGGCCTTAGCTGTCGAAGGGGAGCCGGTAGGCGCGCCACTTCCGGCTCCCCAAACGGATGTCCCGCACTCATACTTCAGAGAGAAGGGAGACAATGAGGTAGGGACCCTCTGTGCCTCCGACTCCGCAGAGGTATCTGAGAAAGAGGCCATCATAGCCGAAACCACTTCGGAACAAGAGATTGTGTCGAAATTCACTCCGATAGACGTATCTTTCGAGGAGGGAGAAGTAAGGCATAGAAAGCTCAGCTTTCAAGCTCCTCCGGGTCCTACAGGCCAACCTCGGCAGCAGCGCCCAGGCCGAAGGCCGGTGGGTTCACAGGCTTGCGGAACTGAGCGCCGGACTGGGAGTGGGCACCGAGCCGTCGTGAGTGCCGGCCGGTAATCCAAACTAGTCGGACAGCCGCAACGGCATGGTGACCGTGGTGGCCTGTCCCGCGACAGGGTCCCCTTCCTGTAAAATCAGGAAGAGGGGGACCTAATATGTGGCTGTTGACTGCGGGCCCGTCACTGTGGTAGGGGTTTATCTTCACCACCATAGGAACAAGATCGGCCTCGGAGACCCTGCCCGAATAGAGAGGGTCCTCGACAGGGTCGGAGATTTAGTACGACAGTGCCATCCCCGACCCGTCATAGTTATCAGGGATTTCAACGCCCACTCAAAAGGGTGGGGTTACGATCCCCGGCAAGGGGACTCTCGGGGCAGGGCCGCAGTCGACTGGGCGTCGGGACTAGGTCTCCTGTTAATGAACAGGGGTCGACTAGCACCTGCGTTCAGCTGAGGGGGGAGTCGGTCATAGACTTGACATTGGCTTGCCCCTCGGCCGTCCGAATATTCGGGGAGTGTGTGGTGGAGACGGAGAGACGTTGTCTGATCATAGATATATAACGTGGTCTCTCCATCTCCCCACCCCTCAACAGCGAGTGTTGGACCGCCACCCAGAGGAGGGAAACATTCCTCTCCCCAAGAGATGGGCCCTCGGTCGGCTTGACGCGGACAAGTTTCAGGCGGCCGCCCTTGTGGCCACCTGACATCACGTAGAGAGGCCAAGTGAGTGAGATTTTAGCCCCCCGGAGAGGGCTAAGGAGATAGTGAGCATCGTGACGTCGGCATGCAACCCTGCGATGCCCAAGTCCCACCCTCGCCGGCGCCGGGCCGTATAATGGTGGACGGAGGCCATAGCCGAGTTACGGTAGGCCTCCGTCCAAGTCAGGCGAACTTATACCTGGGCCCGGCGACGAGACGGGGATGCCGCAAGATCGAGGGAGGGCTACCTCCAAGCGAGGGAAGCCTTCAAGGCCGTCATTGCCGAGGCGAAAAAGAGAGCCTGGGAGCAATTGGTGGATTCCCTGGACGAAGATCCTTGAGGACGCCCTTATAAACGGACAGTCGGTAAGATTTGTCTGTGGGCGCCCCCACCAATGGAATATTTGGACCACCAGGCCCTCGAGGGGTTCTTAGACACCCTCTTTCCGAGGGTGGGTGGGCCTCCCCGGATCCCCATCCCCGAGCAAGAGGACGGGGACTGGAACGAGAGCATGATGGTTACTCCAGAAAAGTTCGCCAAGGCCAGGAAGAAGCTCGGGGCCAAGGCCAAGGCCCCTAGCCCCTACAGCATTCCTGGCCGCGCTTGGCCTCTCGCTCTTGGCGAACGGAACTGTTCGCGGCCACGCGGGAAGTACTGAATGGGTGCCTCAGGGAGAAAGTTTTCCCTCCAGAGTTGAGGAGGGCCAAATTGGCCCTCCTCCCGAAGGAGAGCAAAGCACCCAGAGGTACGCCGGCCTATAGGTCGATATGCCTGTTGGACGAGGCGGGCAAGATGATAGAACGCATCATTGCCGACCGCCTCGTCCAGCATTTGTCCTCGGTGGGACCGAATCTCTATGACCGGCAACATTGGTTCAGGCCCAGACGTTCCACGCTGGACGCAATCCAGTACGTCCGGGACCTGGAGGAGAGGGTCGTGGAGGAGAGGGGCGGGGTGTTGCTCGTGGTGTCATTAGACATTACGAATGTGTTCAACACCCTGCCCTGGCCGGAGATTGGACGGGCCCTAGAATATCACGGGGTGCCCGTCTATCTCCGGCGCATCCTCGCGGCCTACTTCGAGGAACCTCGCCTACTCGGGGAGAGGCGGGGTCCAGGGCCGACGCAAAATGAAACGCGGTGTCCCGCAGGAGTCGGTTCTCGGCCCCTGCTGTGGGACATCGCGTTCAATAGTGTGCTTTGCTCTCACCTCCTCCCTCCACCTCCTCCCTGGCTGCCATGTCATCTGCTACGCAGATGACACCTTAGTGCTGGCCGTGGGGGAGAACTGTGAAGAGGCCCGCCTCCTCGCGGAGGCGGCATTCGTACTGGTGGTGGGCACCATCAGTGGCCTGGGACTGAAGGTGGCGCCCCAGAAGACGGAAACCGTCTTTTTCCATGACGGCAGCCGAGGGGCGCCGCCGAAGTCTCGGATGCTGGTGGATGGAATCCCTGTCCACGTCGGGCCCACGATCAAGTATCTGGGTCTGACGTTGGATGGCCGCTGATACTTCGGGCCGCACTTCAGGCATCTGGCTCCCCGGGTCCGCAAAATAGGTCTATCTCGGGCCAACCTAATGAGGATCCCCCGTGGAGCTCCTAGCTCACGAGAGATATATCCTCTACTGGAGAGTGAAGGAGCTCCGTAAGGGAGGGGAGGGTCAAATGGCCAGGAACTTGGCGGCCCTGAAGTCACAGGCCAGAGCCCGTGTACTGGAACGGTGGTCGGCCGATATGGCTGACCCGCGGGGACTCGGGCCTCGAACGACCGAGGCCGTCCGCTCCTGCCTGCCCGAAGTGGCGGACAGGAGGGACGGGGAATTACTTTCCATCTGGCGCAGGTGCTGACGGGACACGGGTGTTTCGGGAAGTACTTTGTGCCGGATTGGGAAGGAGCCTACCACCGGCTGTCAACACTGCCCGGAGCTTATGGACACGGCGCACCATACGCTGGCGACATGCCCAGCATGGAGCCAACAGCGCCGTCCTGGTCCGGGCAGTGGAGTGTCGCGTGGAGGAACTCTCGCTCCTGCGCATGGTTCGCACCATGTGTGGGAGCGTGAAGGGGAGCGGCGGCCTCCTTCTGCCACGATGTCATGTCGCGGAAGGAGGCCGCCGAGTGGGAGCCGCCCTGGTAACCGCCGCAGGGAGTGGCGGCGAAGGCGACACTCCCCAGGGACAGGTAGCGGGCCTGAGGTGGCGCCGGGCCCGCTACCCGTCCCTGGGGGAAGGCGGATCTGAGACGGCTGAGGAGGAGGCCTCCGGCGAACCGGTGGCAACTACTCCTCGGCCATTGGCCGACGTGTGGGGGGAGGGAGTAACGGGTACGTGAAGCCCACCCTCCCAGGCGTCGGTAAGGGTAGGTGAAGGGGGAGTGGAAGACTGGTTGAGGCCGGGCTACATTTCAATGCCCCCTTGATGAACAAGGGGGCGCAGAGGGAGGGTGGGTTTCCCTTCCTTCCAGTAAGTGTTACCAGAAGGCCAACCCGGCCGGGGACCACGACTTCCTTTGTGAGAGGGGGCGCGTTATACAGGCAAGGGGCTCTGAACATGAGCCCTGGGGCCGGGGTGTCGGGGTGGGAATACGGGAGTAGTTGCCCTGGTTCCCCCCCACACCGGTCCGAAAAGTAGACACCCCGCAGGGGTTTTAGCCGGTAAGAGTCCGGCATAACCTTCGACCCCCCAAGGGGCGGGGGTATCCATGAGGATTTCCCCTGCGTGATAAAAAAAGAAGTAACATGATCACGGTGGCGGGATTCGGTGAGAAGACCGCTACCGCCAACACCAGGATCACCAGAGGAAAGGCTGCTACCACCATCACGGCCACTGGGAAGAGAGCAAGGGAGGCAACCGCGAGCAGTGGAAGCTTAATCCTAAGGCTGGCGGAGGCCTTGGGGCATCGCCGGAGACCCAGGCCATGGTGGATGGAGTTTGCGTCCGCGTCGGATCCACGATCAAGTATTTGGGTCTGACGTTGGACGGCCGATGGAATTTCGGGGCCCACTTTAAGGCCTTGGCCCCTCGGGTCAGGAAGGCTGGCTTAGCGTTAGCCAGTCTTACGAAGACCCAGGGGGGCTCTAGGTGGCACGCCCACCGCCTATACGTCGGTATGGTGCTCTCGACTGCCCTCCACGGGGCGCCCATATGGGCGCCCCGATTAATGGCCTCCGGCCGCTGCAAGGCGCTTTTGCGTCAGACAATGCGGCCAGTAGTTGTGAGGACGGTTCGGGGGTACCGCACCATCGCCATAGTACGGCGACGGCCCTGGCCGGCTCCCCCCCGTGAAGCACATTGGTGATCAAAGGCATGTCCTTTAATGGAGGACAAAGGAGCTCCGCGTGGCGGGGAAGGAACTATCGGCCAGGGATTTGGGGGCCCTGAAATCGCAGGCCGAAACCCGAGTCCTCGAAAGGTGGTCGGAAATGTTGTCCGACCCCAGGGGATTCGAGCTTCGAACGGCCGAGGCCGTCCGCCCCTGCCTGCCAGAAATGATGGGCAGGATGGGACGCGGGCTTACCTTCCACATGGTGCAGGTGCTGACCGAGCACGAGTGCTTTGGTCGGTACCTGCACTGGATTGGAAGGGAGCCCACTGCGGGATGCCACCACTGTCAGGCGCTTGAGGACACGGTACAACACATCTTGGCAGAATGTCAGGCGTGGGCTGATCAGCGTCGTGTCCTCACTTGAGCAGTGGGGTGCCGGGAAGAAGAAGGGGAAACCTTCTCACTCCCGAGCCTGCTCAAAGTCGGCACCATGAAGGGCCTGGGACTGAAAGTGGCGCTCCAGAAGACGGAGGCCATGTATTTTCATGGTCCCCGTCGAGGGGCGCCGCCGAAGAGGTCCCAGGTCCGTACTGATGGTGTCCGCATCCGCGTCAGGCTCACGATAAAACATCTTGGCCTGACGTTGGACAGCCGTTGGAGCTTCGGGCCACATTTCAGGGGCCTGGCCCTCCGGGTTCGCAAAGCAGGGCTGGCATTAGCCGACCTCATGCAAACCCAGGGGGCCCTGGATAGCGCGCTCGCCGCCTTTATGTAGGTGTCGTGCTCTCGAACATCCTCTACGGGGCGCCCATATGGGTGCTCCAGTTAGTTGCCACCGTCGCAAACACCAGCCTGATGCGCCAAGCTGTGTGTACGGTAGTGGTGAGGGCGATTCGGGGGTACGGCACTGTGTTGCATAGGGCGGCGACGGCCCTGGCCGGCTCCCCCCCCTGTGGAGCTCCTCGCCGAAGAGGGACATATTTTCTACTGGAGGGTGAAGGAGCTCCGCAAAGAGGGGGTAGAGGTAACGGCCAGGGGCTTAGCGGCCCTGAGGCTTCAGACCAGAGTCCGAGTCCTTGAGCGGTGGTTGGCCATTTTAGTTTGGGGGGCGGCGGCCTCCTCCTGTCGAGACGTAATGTCTCAGAAGGAGGCCGCCGAGTGGGAGCGCCGCCTCGGAACCCGTCGCAGGGAGCGACGAGGAAGGAGGCGGCGCTCCCCAAGATACAGGGAGCGGGCCCGAGGTGGCGCCGGCCGAGGAGCGGCCCCCGATTCGTCGGGGACCCCCTCGGCCACCTCGGGCCAGACTTCGTCCACGCAAGGGGGGGGCAAAGGGCATAAGGCCTGCCACCCCGAGCGATGGTGAAGATCGTGAAGGGGGAGTGGTAGCCCGTTTGGGGACGGGCCCCGCTCCCCCGCTCCCACTCGGCTAATGAGGGGGACTAGGAGAGAGGGTGGGCGTTCCTCTCTCTCCAGAAATCGGAACCAGAAGGCCAACCTGGCCGAGAGACCGGCCGGGGCGCCGCGGCTCCGACTTCCTTTGTGGGAGGGGCTGCGGCACTTGGGTGTCGGGCTCCAGTAGTGCCCTAGGGTCGGGGTGTCGGGGAAGTAAAATAGGCGTAGTTCTTCTGACTCCCACCATTCCTGCCCGATCGATAAACACCCCGATGGGGTTTCAGCTGGTAAAACAGTCCGGAATAATCCCCCCCAAGTGGGTATCCATGAGAATTTCCCCACCGTTATAAAAAGAAAAAAATGCAACGTGATCATTAAGACCGTGGACACCGATTACGATGACATGCTTTTTCTGCAAGAATTGAATAATACTTATCGATGTAATAATCATATGAAAAATTGTACCTCACAGAATGTACTAAATATTTTCAATTGGTCTTGGAGAGAATTGTACGACGTTTAATAAAACATTATTTCAAATGTACAGATGTTTCTTCCAACACGCTTATCCTCTCTCACCTCTTAGGATTTTATATGATAATTGTGTTTGATAAAAATACAGTACTTTATTTGCGGTATGATGATTATTAGACGTTTTAGAGACGTTCGAGACACGTTCGATAGACGTTTGATAGATGTTCGATAGACGTTCGATAGACGTTCGATAGATGTTCGAGAGATGTTCGATAGACGTTCGACAGACGTTCAAGAGAGACGTTCGATATGGCATAGTAAACGAAGGGTCCGGGGTTCGAGCCTGGTCTAGTTCCGACTTATTCTTTTTTTTTACATATGCGTGATGTCATCATACACACTGTAAGAACCTTCACTAGACGTTTACCAGCAATAGGCAACGGTGGTTTAGGAGGTTGGAGCGTTCGATAGCAACCGCGGGGCTTAGGTACGAGTCTAGCAACACCCGACACATTTTCTCTGGACATATGCGTGACGTCACTGCCGCCATCTTGCCCATAGAATCAAAAACTTCTAGGGAGGAGGGAGGATATCAATAAAGAGGGAGTGTCAATAAAAATGGGGTATCAATAGGGGGAATATCAATAAAGAGAAGGGTATAAATAAAGGGGGGCGGGGTATTAATTAAAATATTTCAATAATAAAGCCAGGATTGAAAAGATTTCATTAATAAAGTCAGGTTTGAAAATATTTCATTAATAAAGTCAGGTTTGAAAATATTTCATTAATAAAGTCAGGATTTTGAAAATTCATTTTGAAAATTGAGTTAGAACCCGCCTTGTTTAATTACTTCTCTTAGTATATTAGGTGCGCACTTTATGAACACATACACCATGCAAAGTACAAATATTTTACATATAATTATATCATAAGTTAAATATACAGAGTGTATTAGGTATATAGATGAATAATCCAAATTATTTTAAGCAGTTATGGAATCAATTTTAAATTGAATAAATTTTCCCGCTCTTTTGTGATTATGCAATGTTGACATATAGCTATTAAAAAGAACATATAGTTTGGCGAAAGACCTAACATAACCTTTAAAAGTATTCAGTTCAATACAGTCGAAAATGGCAACAGATAAGGTGCATATCCGACACTGCATTCTTTACGAATTCCAACAAGGGAAAAATGCTGCAAGAGCGTGCGAATCGATTTGTTCCTTTCTCGGCGAAGGTGTTGTATCGTACGAAGTGTGCGCATTTTGGTTTAAGCGGTTTAAAAGTGGTAATTTCAGTTTAATCGACAAACAACGCTCTGGAGGCCCTCCGGAGTGCGATAATGATGATTTGGAACAACTGCTCGCTGAGAATTCGGCACAAACACAAAAAGAGCTTGCAAAACAGTTGGGAGTAACGCAGCAAACGATTTCCAAACGCCTACATAAGATGGGAAAGATCCAGAAAGAAGGAAAATGGGTTTCGCATGAACTCACTGAAACCAACAAAAATTAAGTGGTAGCGTGTCTTTCTCTTCTCAATAAGCAGCGTCGGAAGTCCTTCTTGTGGAAAATCGTTACGGGCGATGAGAAATAGATACTCTATGACAATCCGAAACGCAGAAAGTCATGGGTAAATCCCGCCAAATCATCAAAATCGGTCGCAAAACCCAGTCGCTTCGGAAAGAAGGTTCTGCTCTGCATTTGATGAGATATCAAGGGCGTGCTTTATTATGAGTTGTTGGAACCGGGTGAAACCCGGCAGTTACTGCTACCAACGTCAATTAATCTGCTTGAGTCAAGAATTGGAAAATTGGAAAACGCCTGTATACTGGCAAAGGAGAACGTCCAGTGAAATTGTTGCATGACAACGCCAGGCCACACATTGCTTCCAATACAAAAGACACCATAATGAGTCTTGGCTGGGACGCTTTGCAGCACCCGGTGTATTCGCCAGACATTGCTCCATCCGATTATCACTTGTTCCGATCGATGCAACACGTCCGATATGCACTTCCAATCAGTGGATGAGATCCGAAAATGGCTTGACGACTTTATCGTGTCCAAAGACGTAACATTTTTCCGAGATGGAATTCATCAGCTGCCTGAAAGATGGCTTAAAATTATAGAAAGCAACGTCGAATACTTTGACTGAACAATTTAAGTTACTTTCTTTTAAAATAAACCTTGAATGTAGCTGAAAAAATTGGATTATTCATTTGTACACCTAATATAAAATGTACTGGGAAATATCACAAGAACTAAGTATTTTAGAAAAAAATGTTTCAAAGAAAAATTGTAGAGTTTCGAAAAATCTATTTACTGATATTATGGGTTTGACCTTTGATAACGTCGCCAAGTTCAGAATAAAATCGCCTTGAATTTTTTAAATGGGACCTTCTACTTTTTATTGTATATTTTTGTAGCCCTCCTTTTCAATGCACTACAATTTTTTCTACTTTGAGTTAGCCGTTTCGAATGATAAATTCAAGAAAGAAAAATCAGTAAGAAAAATCATTTATTTTTTCCATATGAAACAATATGTATCATGTACAAGTAAAGCTGGATACAGACTTGAGCACGAACGTGCATGAAGCAAGCTGAGGCCACTCCGAATGCCTCGGATTGAAAATTGAAGTCTCCACATGAGAACGCATGAGGCAAGTCGAAGCAACTGTTCAACGTTGCTCCGGTCGTCCGGAGTCAACAGTGCTGTTCTTAATTTTCCGTGTCGTGCGCGGCTATCTTCCGTACGCGTGCTCGAGTGCGTCCAAACTGAGCATGAATTATCTTTGATGGACCGACAGCGCTCGGTTCAGTCCGAGCCCGTGCGGCGAATCATCCGAGGAAATCTGCCGCGCCTCGGACCAACGTCCACACTTGCATGCTCATGCGACCTCGGCTTGCCTCATACGTGTTCGTGCTTAAGACTGTATCAAGCTTAATGTGTTCTACTTCAAGTCAAATTCATTGCAACTGATTTGAAATGATTCGAAGGCGAATTTTAGTGCCGTTATAAATTTAGTACATTAGTATTACTTTTTTTAACACGTTGAGCGCCGCGTCAGCCATCGGTGGCTGACACTGGACTTTCTGTTTAGGCCGCGTCAACCACCGGTGGCTGACACTGAAATTACATTTAGGCTGTGTCTGCCACCGCTGGGTGACACTGATCTTTCACATAGGCCGCGAAAAACAGCTGGCTGACAGCGTATAACATGATATAGAACTATAAAATTTACACTCTTTTATGGAATTGCAGAAAATTTATTCAAAATTTACTTAATTTTGACACATTACAGGATTAGTGGATTTCATTGAAGCACGGTAAAAACGGTTCTCCTTTACAGGTATTACAAAATGTGACAACTCGCTTAGTTTTTTTCCTGGCCATTTCTCTACTATCTTTTGTAATCTATTCGTAATAGGAACACCGGCCACGAATCCATAATGAAAACAAAACAGACTTGCCGCGTAACGTGTCGAATGAATGAATGCATATAGGCGGGTCATTCTAAACACTCTTCTACTGCGATAAGAGACATTGGCCCTATAAT